ATACTCAGAGGCTGATGAAAATAAGGCTCTAAAAACCACTTCAGGTATAACCCCAGCAGAGACACTGGTCTTGCACCGGTGATGAATTTACCACGGCAAGCCTCTTGGGGATGATTTACAAAACTTCACAATGTATCACATAAGACACAGTTTAAAAAACGAGAGGGAAGGAGAGAGAAAGAGAAAGGTTGAGGATTTTAGGTCTGTTACAATTAATGCTGTTGAAAGCAACCAACTGCACTTAAATACTTTTTTTTTTTCTTTTACTATAACGTTATAAGTTTATCCTATAATTTCCTCACACGTTTAATTTTAGTAATTTGGGTGGAAAAAACACAAGGGCGCACACCCATGCGGGTGCACTGTCTGACCTGGTAAGAATCAAAGACGCATTTGAATCCATAAGAGAAGAAGATTTTACAAGAGAGCTGGTCTCGATCTGCACAGATGTTTTCTAACACAATCCTCCCCCCAGACCCGCAGAAAAGTTGGTGCATTTCTGTTCCTTTCCCATCACTAAACACAAATTCACAGAGCTGCCTTACCATTCCCGCACTCAGAGAGAGATGGGACTTTGCTCGGCGCGGACCAAGGTCCACCGCACACAGCCACACCTATTCCTCCAAGCAACCTGGGTGCAACGCGGCGTCTGCCAGACCCGTGCTGGCTGCTGCCTTTGCTGGGCTCAATGTCGCGGTGAAATCAGTCACACAGCAAGCCCTGTTTCCTCTCCCTACCGCCGTGACTTATGTAAAATGCAGTTCCTGAATAGGCGCACCGAAATAGAAATTGTTTGCCGCTTAAACGACATCCTGCTCTTGTTTCAGATGTTACAGCCTGGCCAGCTAATACCTCCTGGAAATACCTCTGCTTTACATCTCCCTCTTTTCCTAGGAGCTGCTTGAAGCCCGGGCTGCAGCCTTCACAGATCAAAACACCGCCCACTATACCGAAGAATTACTGAAAACACTTGCTAGGGTCAAACTCTCCCATTTCAGTAAAATTCCAACCCAAGAGCTGATCAGCTCATCACTGTGGCAGCCTGTGAGATCCTGATTTACAGCTAACCTGAACTTCCCCTGTTTTGCTAGTGTTCCTTCCACCACATGTGAGTGCAAGGTCAGAGGTGTCTGTTCTCCATCTTGCCCTTTTTACCAAAAGATATTGGAAATAAAGAGTATCAACCCATGTTAAATCTGAAGAAAACATTAGGATTTCCATCCCCTCCACCCCTGTCACTGCCTTACAAACATCTGTGGGCTACACTCCCCTTCAGAAAGATGTAACAGTGGTTAATTTATATCCATTTCAGAAATGCCTGCTCAGCAACTTCAAGAGCAGCACCAGAGCCTTCTTCATGCTTCTGTGCATAAAGAACAGGTCACAAGAGTCAGTCTTCCCAATCTAATAACCTCAAAACAAACAATTTCACAGATTTCCATCTCTCCAAATTATTCTGGTGGCTTTAAATACACTTCAATTACTCAACGCCCTCCATGCAATACACTGGCATATTCAGGCAACTTTTCCCGTTCACTACTCCCCAGTTTTCCCATCATAAACAATTTCATCCAGCTGATTTTCCACATGACTTTCCACAGTCCTGCCTAAAACAAGTCAAGATTGAAAAGAGCAATCTTGTAAAAAACCAAACCAAACCAAAAATCCCTAAACCCCAGAGTCTGGAGTTCTATAGTATTAAGAAGGGATCCGGCTCATTTCCCATGTCCCCAGTGCATCTCTGGCTAGGGCATGCTTTGTCTTTCCCACAACTCACATTCAAGCAGTAGCCATGTGTTAAATCTCACATTTCTTCACAAATCTTCACAAACCTGATGTTGTTGCAGGACTCCAGCATCACCAGCTGCATGCCTTGCACTTCTCAGAGTGGAGATGGGCACCAAAGCATGGCTGCCCTAACCACAGCAGACACACATGCCTTGGGATATTGCCCCAGGAACCTCTGGACTCTAGACATACCTTCAGCTTGAATTTCCTGCCTGAGATTTGACATGCAGATCTGGTTGCCTTCCACAAGTGGAAGGGGCAGGAGGTTTTGAGAGTGGGAGAAGGCCACTCAGGCATAAGAGCTGCAAGGCTCCCACTTGCTCCTTTCCAGCAGCCATCACACATGCAGCCTGTTGGCGGCATTGGAAGATGCCGCGAGGCATGTCTCTCTCGAAGCAGAGACCTGATCACAAGGAGTGCTGGCTCTGCACTCCCATCACAGGAGTCTCCCAGCCTTTCTGTGCTGGCAGGAGCGGGTCACCCCTTCTCAGCACAGACAAGAGGACTTGCACAGATAACACAGATGCTGAGCTTTATAAATCATGTGACTGTGTAACAGAGAGAGGAGAGCAGAGAACACACACAGATCACCACAAACCAATCTGCAGTCCAGGAGATGTTTGGTGATAATGTCAAGAAGACATTCCCTCCCAGAATAAAATAATGGAACTAATGCACAGAAGAAGAAAAGCCAGACTGCATTACAGCATCAAACATAACATATGGCTGGGCATAATTATTACACAAGAGGAAGCACCATTGTACCATGTGCTTGTCTATCATGAAATATGAATAATTATATCTTCCTCCTCTCTCCATTGTTGTTTCTTCCAGCATCTTTCCCTGGAAGCAGAGGGAAATTAAAACCCAGCATACAGGAGCTTACAACATTTGAAGCTTAGATTTGTACTTATCCTTCTGCTACCAGCTGGCAAACGTGGAGAAACCAAAACTGAGGTAAGGGAAAGACAGGATTTTGAAACACTCCTAGCTCTGTTTAGAGGGGTACACCACTTCTCCCTGTACCAAAGCAGTTTTATGTAGAGCAGGTTAAGTTGAAACTAGGATTTGGAGCCTGGAGATGCATAGGAAATTTCAGATGGGGTGCAGAATTAAGATGGTAAATGGGTCAAAATTTAAATCACTGCATACTCTGATGTGGTGAAGAAGATAACAAATCTCATTTCAATTTCCAACTCTGCACTTTTTAAAGTAGTGAGACAGGAAACACACAGAAGAGTGAACAACATTCATTTTAAAAGAAACAAACTCTCCTAAAAGATTGGCTGATAAATCACAACCTTTTAAAGATGATTCACTGGCAGAAGTAGCATGAGAAATTCCTGATTAGTTTCAGACAAAAACCACCAGGGGAATCCAAAAGGTGTATCCCCTCTCTGTCCTGGAGCATAATTCTCTCTCCTGCTTGAGCCATACTCTCCCTTCTTATTTTTATTTACTTATGTAATTATTAATTGTGTACTTAAATCGCTGCCATCCAGAGTTTCTTATTTATTGATTATAATTTGTTACATTAATAATAATAAATCTTGCTTGTCCTAGGTCAAACAGTAAGTACCTGCTGTCATCCGTCATCACAGAGAAAAGGATCAAAATCTTGCGACTTCCAACTGCATTTGTAATTGCCACAGCGGCTCCATGATGCCAGTATGCTTTTGTCACTGGGCTACACTCTGAGCTTCAAAGAGAAACAGGTGCCTCAGGAATGGCAAGAAAAGAGAAATACTCTGCCTCGGGTACAGTGCTGCTCTGCCATAGACTGATTGCTGGCAAGGGACACACAGCACAGTCCCACCAGCTAGCACTGCCTCCTCAGTGAGGAACAAACCTGGCTCTATTCCTGGCGATCCAGTTCCCAACACCTGTCTCTTTTCCTGGTGATCCAATTCCCAACACTGTAACATTCTTGTGTTCTGTTCCCTCTGGCAATAAGCAATGGCAGCAGCACTGTAACATGCAATCTTGGCACACCGCAAGCTCTTTTGTCCTGGCTGCTTTCAGCAATGACAGGTGTTGGGAAGTGCTGTGCTACACACCTTTGTTACCCCAAGCAAGTGCATTCAGCAAATTTCAGAAGCTCTCTGCAGCACTGCCTTTTGAAGGTGGTGTTAATTACGATGAAAACAGTTCAAGAGGCAACAGCTCGAGATGCAAAGCAGCATCACCGTTTTCTTTCTTTAAGAGCCACATGAAATAAATTAACCATCAAGGTTTTTCAGGCTAGAAGAAACTACAATAATCATTTAGCCTGATCCTCTGCATAAGAGAGACATAAATTTCAGCAAAGATTCATTCCTTGTGCCAAGAAACTGAAGGCCACGCTAGAGCATTTCACACCAAAGAACCTTTAAATCTTCATTGAACATACACGTCCTGGGGATCCTAGTTTCCCTAGTGAGCCCTTTCTTTAGCCAACTACCTTCCCAGCTTTTGGAAAAGGACCAGCCACCATCTTCCCTTTCCAATCTCTTCCCTCTTGTAATTAAAACTCATTTGCCATTGTGTTTCAGAGCAAGCAAACATTAAATATCTATAATCTTTCATACAAGAGGATTGTATGAAGAAACAGTTGCAAGAGATCCAGAATAGCTTTACACAGGATGAAACAGGCATAAATTCATTATTTTCCTTTTCTGTGCCAACTTTTAAACCCCTCTAAAATTGCTCCTTCTGCCATCCTCAGAGACAGCTTACTCCAAAACCAGAGTTTCCTCAGTGTCTGGCAGGAATTTACCCTGTAAAAACTTTTTTCCCTATTAATTGTTAGAGCCAAGATGAACAAAACAAAATCTACAGACTTGTTTTTTCTTTCTCTGCTTTATAACTAGTTCAAACACACATGCAAGTTTTCTTTAAAGTAAGTAATTAAATTTAAATAGGAAATTCAGACAGACTTCATTTTCCAGCATGAAATCAAATATCTTGCTGCAGCTTGAGATCTAGAATGAAAAAGGATGGTTACACACCCTTCCTGCAGCTGAGATGAACCCTGATTTGCTAAGCCCCCAGCCCAAAGCCTGTGCCGCAACCAGATCTATGCTGGCTTTAGCTCTATCCATCCACCAAAGAAGTCTCTGCAGCTGTGCCACCAGGGAACATCTCGTGCTGAGGCGCTCAGTCTCTGTGAGGTACTATGGAAGCACAACAGAAGGACCAGTGGTTCTTCCACTAGGGACAAACACCTGTCCACAGATTGACCGGCACTAGGAGAGTATGGAGTCACCTTTGTGACTCTCCTTCCTCAGGCATTTGGCTGCAACCTGGAAGGAAGGGAGGAGATGTTCCTCCAGCACCAGGTCAGAGCCATGTCATAGCCCAAAGCTGCAAGCAAGGACTGCCCCAGGTAACACAATCCTGCCACGGTGACTTTACCAGCTGTGCACGCAGCTATCCCTCCCACCGCCGTGGGTCCTGCGTTGACACGCTCAGAGAACCCACGCTGGAGACGAAAACAAGAGCACACTCGAAGCAAGCAAACAAAGCAACCATCCAGGTTTGCCCAGCTTGCGAAACCTGCCTCTGATCAGATCACTCCTCAGGGCTGAGAAGCCGCTGAGCTGGGGCTTGGTAGCCAGAGGGAGGGATATGCTTTTGTAAGTAAAGCGCCCCATGGCTCAGCCAAAGGCATCAAGGCCCTTAGGCAGCAAATACCTGTAGCACAACATGCCCTACAGCCACAGGGGGTAACCAGCACCTACCTCAACCACCTGGCAGGGGTTTTGACTCTGCCAGAGATCCTAGTCACAGATGTCACATGTTCCCCAACCTCAGTCTCCCTGCCTGCTTTGACACAGGCTTTCTAGCATACAGATGCTTTCAGGATGACTCAAAAGCAACTGTTACAATTGGCACAGCCTGATCACACCAGGAGCAGGAAATAGCCTCTCCAAGGAGCAGAAAATGCTCCACGCCCCTCAGGATGGATTGTCATAACACCACAAGGAGGGCAACAGCAGGGCATGCTCCCAGCTTGGAGCAAAGCTGGTCCAAGTTACCCCGCCAAGGAGACACCCTGACACAGCAAGGAGCCCCCTGCCTCCTCCCAGCACTCATGAAGGCAGAAAGGAGATTCCAAGCACTGCCAGGGAAGCATCCCTGCCCCCAGTACAGACAAAGGGCTCTACATGATTGCTCCTCCATAAGCAGGAGCTCCCAGCACGGCGAGTGGAAGATACTGCTATTTGAGTGCCCTCACCCTTCTGGCCTGCACGGTCACCTCTGTCTGCTCTGCAGGGAAAGGAATCAGGTTCTAGAGGACTTTCAGAAGGCAACTCGGTGTTTCCTAAATGATCACTGCTCAACAGCATCTTATCTTCTCCACTGGGGCTCAAGAACACCTCATGTGGCAAATACAACACAGGCTGCTAGGAGACACCAAGTGGCATCTGTGTGCTCACTTGCTTGCAGACCTTTCCTTTCCTCTGACTCCAGCCAGCATGCAGCACCATAGCAGGAAGCCCAGCATTAAGAACTAAAGCCATTTGTTCATCTCTTCCCTTTCCTTAAGAAAACTCACTTGTCCACCCATTAGTCAATTTAAAACACTAGTTCCCTGGGCTAGCCAACCCCAAAACACACGGAAAATTCACAGTCTCAACCTGGAGATTATGATATCTACACAGAAGCATGACCACAGACTCCAAGAGTAAGTTCTCCTCCAAACACCTATCCCTTCTCCTGATTTTTAAATCAAGAAGCCAGAGTCAAATCCATTGTGCAATGCACAATTTCGGGTAGCAAAATTGACACACACAATAAAGCAAATACAGGATATCTGCAGAAGGTGAAAGTATCCCTCTCCAGTATGCTCAGACAACCTAATTCATGGACAGCAAATAAAATTTTCTTCCCCCATTACATCTTTTTTTCCCTCCCTTTTTTTTTTTTGTGATACACACAGCTGCAGATACTGAATGCACACAAAGTATTATAAGCCTCATTCACATTTGTTTTCTGGGGCCTACTGTTGCCCTGCCAGCAAACCTGACTTCCAGGAGAGTGGTGAGCAGAAGGCTGCCTGAAGACAGGTGGCTCCCACACAGAATAAGTCCATGTTGGGCAAGCTCCAATTACCTGCTTGCAGGCAAGGAGCCCTCTCTGTGAAATTGCAGCTTCCAGAGTTCACCTCAAAAGCAAAAAGACATTACAGCCAAACTAAAAATGTGGCTTTTGGAGGCCCTGGTTATTAGCATTAAGATAAGTTGCCCAGTTCCACCTACACAAGGAGACTGCAACACCACATTTTCTATCCTATTTGACATGAGGGAGCTGCGCCACGACAGAATGAAGCTGACCTGGGAAACACCAGCCCTCCCAGGCACATATCTTGTTTTCACTTGAATATTGGGACTCAAGGCCATACCTTGCAGCCCTGAAGGGCTTTTACAAGTGCACATGACATTCAAACCAAGACTTGCAAAGATCAGACAGCTCTTCAGAGTAAAAAGACATATAGCATTTCAGCTGTGCAGTCACCTCCCATGCTCCTGAAAACCCATCTTCAAACAGAAAGGGAAGAAAAAAAGAACAGGAAGCACCTCCTAGTCAATGAACCCTTTCAGCAAACCCCCCAATTGCAAATGGTTAATAAGACCACCACACACACACTCACGGGGGCTGTACCTGGACTGCTTTTTTGGCGGCGGCGGCGGTGGTGCAAACTCCATACCATTACTCTTGTCTTTAGGGAAATCAAAGGAGAAAGAAGATGATTTGGTGATCCCAGCCTGGCTCTCCAGCATCAGGCCATCATCCACAAGGTCAGTACCAGCTTTTCCATTCTCAGCTCCTACTGCCCATGGGTGAGTTAAGAGCTCCTGCTCCTCTTCCTGCTCCTCCTCCTCCTCTATTCGGCACTGCTTGGTCCATGTTGGGGTGTAGTATTTCTGCCTCCTGTCACAGGATGAGCCTGCCAGGCCTCTGTTGGACTCTTCCACAGAGACCCCATTCACATGGGTGCACGGAGAAGGGGATGCCCCAAAGGCACCTGTACCAGTGCAGCTCCTCGGCAGCAGCTGAACACCAGCCCCATCATGGCTGTTGTCATCACCAAACCTTGCCACATGGGAGCTCACTGGCAGCACACAGTTCCCCCCACTTCCTGGCTGGCTGTTTTTGGACATCTTTGGGGGAATGGCTGGACTGTCACTAAGTGAGGTCTTGGCAGGAGCTCCCAGATGAAATCTTGGACTGTTTTCACTTCCAGATGCTTGAAAAATCTGTCCAGGCTCAATGGCAGGTGACGACGTCCCAAAATCGGGGTGGGAAGTGGGGCTGATACACGGCCACTGAACTCCTACTGCTGAGTCGGGGCTGCTGAGGAATATTGTCTTGTGATCATCCTCAGTGTGCGCTGTCATTACAGTTATCTTTGCTGCCACCTGGCCAGTGGAGTCCTGATATTCCTTCTCAGCCCCCAAAGCCCAGCCACCATCCCTCCATGACCCATCAGCTTGCTCCTTCACAGTGCCGTGGGCCAGCTTCTCTGCTTTTGCCTGCCCACTGACAGCCTTCAGCTGTGCCTTCCTCCTCTTGGTGCTCTCGGCATAGATTGGATCACCGCAGGCTGGCTCAGTGAGGCGAGGGCGCTGCGGCTCCACCAGAGCCTGTTGAGGGGTGCCCGAACCCTCAGTCTGAGGACCTCCAGTGACAGAGGGCTCCACAGGGAGAGGCGAGCCCTCATCCTCCCGGGACAAAGCAAAGGCAGTTGCCCTGCTGCTCCCTGTGCTCTCAGGGAGGGCGGTAGGCTCAGTGTGGAGAGACAGCTTTTTCCTCTCTGAACACAGGGCATAGGGGAGAGGATCACCATGGTCTTTTGTGATACAGAAGGCCACATTCACAGCTCTGCGCTCCTCTTCGCTGAACTTGACTGCCCGACCACTTGGCCTAGGAATCTCGGGAGCATCCCGCTGCTTCCATCTGCAGGGAGCGTGACTCTCCTTCTCGCAGCGTGCAGCCTTCCCCTCTGTGCAACACGACTCCCATGAGACGGGGTGCTCTCTGTGGCAGTTTGTGATTGAACAGTACTCGCCCCCTTCGCTTTCAAAGCCAGAGGAGATGCGACCACAGTCACCCTCTGAAAGGAGCACGGCTCCTTCTCTGGCTTGGGAAGAAGGGTTTCTGCTGGAATTAGTGGTGCTTCTGTCCCCCAGTGCAGATGGATTAGGGCAGGGGGCCCGATGAGGCAGGGCAAACTTGTCTTTGGCTCTGTCCTCCTGCTTGCCCACCTCACCCACAAGTACCAGGCTGTGGATGGAAACATTTTTCTCCACTCGACTTTCCAGGCTGCGCAGACCCACCATGGAGTAGCTAGGAGGACAGCAAGACAAGCAGTCACTGGGCAGGTTGTGAAGGAAGGGCTTTCTCACACCACCGTTGCCAAAATTGTCAAGGCAGATCCGCTCTGCATCTCCTGATTTCAGAAGGAGCTGCTTGCCAGAAACCACGCCCCAGCTGACCTGCACAGATCAAAGAGACAAGTGCACTGTCAGGATGTGCATATGCAAAATGAAAGAGAAATAAAATAAAGAAACCAACACAAAACTAAAACTGCAAAAACTGAAGTCCACCTCCACTGAACAGTCCTCTGGCATTCACCATCCATTTTGCTGTGCTCATCCCACCAATAACTTCCACAAACATTTCCTACTAATATTACACTTGTCATATTTCTTGGACCATTTGCAATCCCTGCATTTCTAACAATGGCAATGCAGTGGAATAAGGCATTCTTCTTTCTCTTTCCGTGGGTTTGCTGCCAGAAATGTGTCCAACCTGTCATCCTGTCTGTGAATCACCGTGCAATTAAAGATTCAGAGAGGGAAGGAGTATTTGCACCTCTCTCTGCTTATTTTCATTTCACTTCACACTGCTCCAGAGTTTGTGACTCTGGAACACAGACACAGATTATCACAGGTTATCCTTGGCTATGCTCAGCAGTAGGGAGTGAGGAGCAGGCAGGGTATCTGAAATCTCTTCATCAGAGGGAGATCTATCCTGATTGCCAAGGGAGAAGCAGGAGAGGCAAAGTAACACATGCCTATGAAGCGACCCCCATTCCAGGATGGCCAAACCTGCTCCCACAGCACAAAACTCAGCCTGAGGCCAAATCTGCATGTACAGATCAAACCCCATCGATGATGGCAGCTTGCACTCTTGTGCCCTTTACCCCTAAAACAGAAGAAAGGAATAGCAACAGGAGGCTAAGGAAAGAGCCGGTGAGCCCTGACTCTCCTCTGGGGCAAGAGGAGATAGGAGTACACCTATGCCACAGGCAGAGGGACAGCAGACCATGCTTCACTCTGCATGGCTGGGGCAGTGCTGGTATCAGCTGGTCAGGGCGAGGAGTGCACCACCCACTTGATTGCAACTCAAACCACAGGGCTTGCCAGTCTGCAAGCAGGGAGCAGTGCTACACCCAGAGGGCATTACTGCTCTGGCAAAGGTTGGGAGCCCAAGGAGTAGGAAGGTGGGGCACTTCCTTCCTCACCCACAAAGACCATGGATCCAGGTAGCACTGACTGCAACCAGGCGAGACATCTTTTCCGTAAATCTTCCCAGGAAAATAACTTTAACCCGCATCCTCATTTAAAATCCGGAAATTCCTAAAGAAACAATGTAATTTTAAGCACCTTTGCACATGACTTGTGAGCAAAAGCTCATTCAGCTTCATCCAAAGATACTTTGAGAAGGCAATATACGGCTTAAAAACCTGAGTCAAGACCAGAAGGAAAAACAAAGAGAAGGAAACGGTTTTAACAGCTATTCCTAGCACTCCTGAGAAAAGGTAAGTAACGGGAAGTCATGCTTTGACTGGATTAATCATTACCTGTGACAGATCTGCATTCATATTCACATCCGCCCACGCGTCAGAAACATCCGAGTTTATCATCGTTGGCTTCACAGCAATTGTTGGCTTTGAGAAAGGGGAAGTATTTACACCTTCGTCGTCAAACGCGAGGCTCTCAGGCTTGGTCCTAACTCCATTCGGGAGCACGCCACAAGCTCCCGTGTCTGGGGTTGTTTGCAGCCGATGGGAACTCTTTGGGTTGAAGCAGTTTTTGCAGGAGCCTGGCTTCCAAACGTGTTCCACAAAGTCACTGCACGCAGACATCTTCAAATCCTCGTGGGTCAGACTGAGAGCCCACTGCGTCTTCTGCACTGTCCTCTGCTGCTCATTTTGCATTTGCTCCCAAGCCACTCAAAGTTCACCTGGTTATCTGGAAAAGCACAACACTGTTTGATCAGTTTGACTGTAGTCCCAAGTGGGAAGATTTTTAATAGGACAGGTGATAATTAATCTTACTCTGCCTTCATCACAAAGGTGTATTGTTTACAAGACTTTTTTCACAGCTTAGCTAAAGCCCACACAATCACTTGAAAAGCCTCAACTTCTAAGCATAGCTCTGTAATGGAGAAGACATCAAGCAAGCAGCATTCCTATGTGATTTAATTCCCTGTTTAATGAGCATGTATAACCAGCCTCATGCAAGGTTTAGATCAAGGGTAAAGAAAAGGAGTCTTGGAAATAGCTGTTCACAGCCACACAAGCAGAGCAAGGCAGGAAAAATTCCTTCTCCAAAGTGGCATCCTCTCTGGAAAATAAAAAGGCCTAGAGGACCAGCATCAGCAACTGTGTAACCAAGGGGACACAGCAACAACCTTCCTTCACCCAAAAGCGCCACTGTGATTACTGCCATGGTACACAAAGGCTTCTCTCCCACCCAGTGCAACAGAGAAAGGCAATCAGCGGGGCTGGGGCTGGCACTGATTTGAGCAAGTGTCTGGCAGAAAGCTCTTATCTGGTTTGCCAAGAGCCACAAATAACAGTGTCAGCTTGCTGAAATGATTCATTGTCTTCAAGGGGAGAAACGTTTTGCTCTTGGATTACTTACAGACAAGGATTCCTTCCCATCTTCCTTCCCCAGGAGGAAATGCCCCAGGAACAAGACATTCCTTCCTGCATTCCTCTGCCCCCCCCTCCCCTTCTGGCCAGGTCTGATTGCACTCAGCCAATAGCTACCTGGAACTAACAACTTTGGAGATACTTCAGAGGAGGACTCCCACAAAGCTCAATGGATTAGGGAAGAGAAGATCAGAGAATGCAACTTGATGAGAAAAATTGCAGCCAGCTGCTATGGATGTCAGGGCACACAACGTGCCCCCACGTGGCTCCACAGAGTCCTTACTCACCTAACCAACTTTAGGTCATCATCTCCTGGCCAGCTGACCCCCAGGCAAACCGAGGCTCCTTCCTCAAGGATCTACAAGTGAACAAGCACTTCTGTACCCCAATCCAAAGGCACATGAGCAAAATTTACCAGCCTGATCCTTCAGCATTTCCTCCACACAGGTATACTGGAACCCCAGAAGAGCTATGGACACCTTTGCAGTTGCATGCACCCCTAAACCAGCTTGCACTTCAGTAAAAACTCTTGCCTCTGGTCTCAGAGATGCCCTGGCCAGCCTCTTCAACAGCCATTGCACTGTATGGCATAAAGAAAGACAACTAATAAGAGCCTAGGTGGGACAAAGAGAAGGGGGGGAGAGCCACTGACCCACATGCATCACCTGAATTCAAATGCCACCTTTAAGAAGGGTGTCTTTGATCAGGTAAAGCATTAGTCTCTGCAGACTCCTTCTGTCTGGCAGGCCAATAAATTAGGATCTGTTTCTTGAAAAAGCTGAAAAAAGACGAATATCAGTAGGATTCACAAGTCAGATTGCAGTATGTCTCTCTCTTTTTAGGGAAGAGACTATTTTAGACAGCTTTTTCCATGGACTTCACAGAGTCTGAATTAATCAAAGGACAGCAAATCACTCTCAAGCATATTCCAACACTTTCAACGAGATTAACAATATTTGCAGGGAAAACATCTTTAAAAAAATATTCTATTCTTTGCATCCTTTTAGATCGAGCACTGAGTGTCCGGCATCACCCAAAGTTGAACAAGTGTCCTGATGAGACAGAAAAAAAGAAAAATCAAAGGGAGGGAAGCAGCACCGGAGCCACGAAAAACTCTTCACTTCTGATTTAATATTCGGCGCTGCCAACTTAAAACCCGGGGGTTCCCTCTCTGCAGCCCGACCAGCCGTCATTTCTCGCTGCCCATACCCCGGGCAGGCGGCCCGGTGTCCTCGTACCGGCTCCGCACCCGCACCAAGCCACGCGGCGCCGCGTGGGGAAAGCCCTCGGGATCTGCCGGGAGAAGGGGATCGAAAGCCAGGACCTGGGGCTGCCTCCGGGCAAGCCGAAAGCCGGGACCTGGGTCTGAGGCATCCCCGGAAGCCCCCGCGCCTCTCGGGAACACCGGGCAAGCACCGATTATAGCGCTACCTGTTCTCTAGGACAAGGGATGCCAGGCTGCGCACGACGATGTCTTCGGCGCAAAACCCCTCGAACCCCCCAGCCTCAAGCAGCTCTTCTGCCAGACGTTCCTCCGCGCCTGACCCACCGGGATCCGGAAAGTTTATCGGGCAGGCCCTGCAGGGGCTCCCCGCGTGCGGATCGAGACCGAAGCGCGCCCCGGCCGCTGCAGCCCCCTGCCCCCCGTCTCCCGCCGCATGCCTCCTGTGCACCGGCACAGCCCGCCGCCCCGCCCGTAGTGCCGGCGCCAGGAATCCCCTCCCAGCCCGTCTTTGTCCCGGGAGGCGGAGCCCCGCCTCGGCGCATCGTGCGGCCTCACGCCCCGAGACAGCCAGCTACTGCTCACCAGCGTCCCGCGGCTGCGCTCGGCTCCGCGCTGCGCCCGCTCGCCGCCCGCGTGCGGTGGCGAGCGGGTCCCCGCGGCCGGGGCCCTCCGCCGCTCCTCCCCCCGGCCCGCCCTCGCTGGCACGAGCGTGCGGCAGTCGCCCGGGCGGAGCGCGCGGTCTGATCTTCGCGGCCCCCGCGCGTCCTCGCCTCGCACAAAGAGCGCCCGCGCCCCGCAGGGGCACCCGCGACTCCCAGCGACATCCCCGCCACCGTCACCATCCCTCCCAGCAGCGCTCACGCAGACCTGCACCGTCTCAGGGTTAGCGAGTGGGTATCAGCCCCCGGGGGGATGCAGCCACCCACATACCCAGCATCCCCGCACAGACCCCATAGGGTCCTGCGCAAGCACCCACGCCGACACTAGCCTTTAGGATGGTGCTGGTCCCAGCTAGAAGGTACCGAAATCAGAATTTGACCCCACTGTGCAAAAACTGCAGGCAGCATCCCAGGAAAATCCCAAACCTCTGTTGGCGTGGGAGACTGGGCATCATTAAAAGGGAACAGGATGAGGTTTTGTGCACTGTAGTGTCTTAGCAATACTTTAGGGCAGGCTGGAAAAGGACTGTCTTCTCTTATCCTGGCAGTTCTCTGTGGTGTGTAGTTTTGAGCATCTAAAATCTTAGAAACTAGGAAAAAACAAAACAAAACAGTTCTCCCCCTGCTTGGGTCAGGGCCTTAGCTCAGTTCCTTGCT